TTGCGAATAGCTGAAAATATTTCACCACATATTCAACTCACTACGTCACATTTGAAACTTCACCAAGCTGCCTAACAAATCACATAAATGCAAGAAGTGAAAAAAATTTCCACAGAAAAACGAACGTTCTTCGCACAACGGTCCTTCACGAGTGGCCCACTGGAATCCTTGAACGAGAGATTCACGCACACTGCCCAGCAACTGCTTATCAACTTCCGATGGCAGCGTATCATCCAACAAAACATTCGGCCCCGTAGTATCCGGCCCGAACGCCCAGATACTTCGCGCCGCTAACAAATCCCAATCGTATTTCGTTTGGAAGAACTCACCTAACCGTTTCCTGTGAAATTATTCCTCCAATGAAATGCAAATTTGAAAAGAGCTTTCAATCACCATACACTTATCTATATTTATACTTCCATTATAAACGAAATACAGTTAATAAGTATGAAATAACGACGCCACAATCGAATAAATATGTCGACATCGCTAACAGTGGAGTGTACTCTCTAACACATTTTCACGATGAAACGCATACGTCAAAAATAACGAGTAATACCAAATCTGAGTAAGCTTGACAGATGATAGTACATATTTCAGTTACTTACAGAATTGTGAGCCCTGTCGACCAGGAGAAACCAAAATCTGGATCTAATCACAAACAGAAAATGGACATTTCGAGTAATACATTAATGACGAAATAAGGTAACGAATCAAAAAGCAACGATACCTATTCCAACCAATTTGCACCACTTCACCTTCGATATCCTCTGCCAAACCCTTCTCTAACGGCTCCGCAATCATCGTTAGTTTATTCCTTCAAATTTTCATTAAATAAATTCAACGCTTATTCTAATAATTCACTGGATTTATGAGCAAATAACTGCAAAATAAACTTTTTGTTCGGTGTTTCTGCGAAGCACTTGAGTGAGGATGTTTCAACGACCGTCTCACAGAACGACACCACAGGATCTGCCACTTTGATGTCGATTTCTGAGAACACCTGTAAAGAGAGCAAGTATCATGAATGTGTGCGTACATATGACTCAGTCAGTAACGCTATGAACGATCTGCATCGAAACAATACATTCTCACTAAGAGATCGGTGGACAAGTAATCCTTTCAATATAAATGTCTATGAAGATAACAGACTATCCGAGAGATGTAAATAAGCGAACCTTTCTCATATCATGCATAACACAGTCCATATACAGCTCTCCAGTTCCCAACATCACATGCTCGCCAGATTCCTCGACACGAGTCGTAAGCAGTGGATACGATTTATTCACCTACAAAGCAAAATATATAAACTGCTGTACGGGTGGCGGATGAATCAAGACTGAAACACTGGCCACCACGTAACATTACAAAAATCGACACACGACAATTCCGGACAGATCTACACGAATACAGACAACAGTTGACTGAATACGGACAATTTCATCCTGAGTTTATCTATCAACAACGAACCTTTCTGAGCCCATCGAGCATTTTTGGTAGTTCAGATGGATTGATCGGTTCAACTGCCATTTTCACAACCGATTTCGTGTTGAACTTGAGTGGTCGGAATATAT